TGATGAAGATGGGAACATTGAAGTTCTGCTGAATTTAACCACAATACCTTAAAATCACCCCATAGGAACATACTGTTTTCTGTGGATCTAGCATAGTTTTTGTAGATGGAAGGATCCAATGGGATACATTAACACACTTTTAATTACATTTGTAAACAAAAATTAAACTGTTCCCACTTGATAGAGTTGTAAAGTCGTACGTTACGGAAAGAGGCCCTTCAGCCCATCATGTCTGTGACAGTCATCAAGGATTCTGATCCCCTTTTTCAGCATTTGGCCCATAGCTTTGTATGCCACGGTGTATAAAATATTCATCCAAATGCGTTGCAAATGTTGTTGTAGAGATTGTAACGAGGTCATCCAGGTGGACCTCATAGAATATGAGTTTCCTGATTGGGGATGTTAATCTGGTCCAATCAGGGCACCCTTGCTGACAGATAAGAACAGCATGTGTCAGACATCCTGTTACTCTGAGAACTGGCTCTATGGGAGCTGGATCAGTGCCACAAGGACTCTCTACATGTAAATAAAGGGTGACCTGGTGACGGGATACCAGCCTGTGTGGTGTCATTTCAGTTTGAGGTTTCCCACCTGTACCATGTTTTTCAGGCAGTGAATTTCAGATATACTCCACTTTCTGAGTGCAATTCTTTTTCCACAAATCCCCTCTAAACCCTCTGTTCCTTAACTTCACCTCATGATTGGCCCCTCTACTAAGGGGCAAAGTTGCTCCCCATCTATTCATCTATGCCTCCCAGCCTTCTCTGTTCTAAGAAAAACTATATCAACTATATCTAGATTAACTTGGGTTAAGTTAATCGAGATATAGTTGAAACACACCAGCCCAGGAAACATCCTGGTGACTCTCGAACCACTCCAGTGAAATCGCAAATTTCCTATAATGTGGTGACCAGAACTGAATGCAGTATTTCAGCAAAGTTTTATTCAGCTCTATCATGAGCTTTCTGTCCTTGTATTAAGTACCTGCACACATTGAGGCAAGTGTACCATATGCATTTTTAACCACCTTATAAGACCATAAAATGTAGGAGCAGAAGAACGCCATTTGACACAATTCAATGGTTGATCTGATAATCTTCAACTCCATTTTCCTGCCTTTTTGCTTTGGATTCCCTTGCTGATTACAAATCTGTCTGTCTCAGCCTTGAATATCTTTAACGACCCAACCTTAACGGTAAAAAAAAAACACAGATTCACTACCCTCATCTCTGTCTTATACAGATGACCCCTTATTGAGAAATTATGCCCTCTTCTTCCACAAGGGGTAAGAACTTCTCAGCAACTACTCTGGCAATTCCCCTAAGAAGCTTATATGATTCAACAAGGTCTCCTCTCATTCAATAGGTACAGGCCCAACCTACTCAACGTCTCCTCATAATAAATTTCCTCCATTACCAAGACCAAACTAGTGAATTTTCCCTGTAGTTTCTCCAATGCCTGTGTATCTTTGCTTAGAAAAGGGAACCACACTGTTCACAGTATACTAAAGCTGCTGTGATTAATGCCTTCTATAGATTTTGCAAGATCTTGTTGTTTATATACTCCATTCCCTATGAAATAAAGGCCATTATTCAATGACTTTCCCCATTTCCTGCTCAACTTGGATGCTAGCTTTTTGTGATTAATGCACAAAGACCCACAACTCCCGCTGTGTTGCTGCTTTCTTTTAATTTTCTTTATTCATTCATGGGGTAAGGCTGTCACTGCCATCCCTAATTGCTCAAAGGGCATTTAAGAGTTAACCACTTTGCTGTAGGTCTGGAATCACATGTAGACCAGACCAGGTAAGAATGGCAGTTTCCTTCGCTAAAGGACATTAGTGAATCAGATGGGTTTTTCCGACAATCAACAATGGATTCATGGATTAATTAGTTAATTCTTCATTAGATTCTTAATTCCAGATATTTATTGAATTCAAATTCCACTATCTGCTGTGGCAGGATTCAAACCCAGGTCCCCAGAACATTATCTGGATCTCTGGATTAACAGTCCAGCAATAATACCACTAGGCCATTGCCTCCCCTGTCTTTCTCCAACTAAATAATAATGAGGTCCTCTATTCTTCCTAACAGAACACAACTTGACTTTGTTTACATTCAATCTACCAAGTTTTTGCCTACTCATTTAACCTGTCTATATCTGTCTGCAGACTCTTTGTGATATCCTCACCACTTGACTTCCCATTTATTTTTGTATCATCTGGAAACTTGGCTATTGTATATTCACTTTCCTCATCCAAGTCGTTAGTTATATATTGTAAATAATTGTGGCTCCAGCACTGATCTTTGTAGCTTCACATTGGTTGCCATCCTGAAAATGCCCCCCTTATCACGATTCTCTGTATTCTATTAGTTAGCCAATCCTCTATCCATACACATGCACCATACTAACACCCTAGGTCCTTGTCTTATTTAGTAGCCTTATGCATGGTACCTTACTGATTGGCTGTTGGAAATCCAAATATATTACATCTTTATCCATCCTGCTTGTTACCTCCTCAAAGAATTCTAATAAATGTGTCAGGCATGATTATCTACCTGTCCTGTTGACTTTAACGTTATATGGACATGCAAACCAAGGTCCCTCAAGATTCTTTGTACTTCCTAAGGTCTTACTATTCATCATGCATTCCATTGCCTTGTTAATCCTCCCAAAATGTATCACCTCACATTTTTCAAAATTAAATTCCTTTTGCAACTGTCTGCACAAAAAGAAAAGCCCATCTATATCATCCTGTAGTTTGGTCTTAGTTATTTATGATGCCACCAATATTATCTGTGAGCTTACTGATGATACTTTCTACATTGTTATTATTAGCTCATGAATTTACACCACAAACACCAAGGGACTTATTACTGAGCCCTGTGGTATGGCACCTGACACAGGCTTCCAGGCAATGAACAACCTTTTGATCATTACCTTCTGCTTCCTGTCTCCAAGTTTATTTTGGATCAACTTTGCTAAATTGCCCTGGATCCCACAGATCCCTAGATCTTCACCATTCTTATCTACACACCTAGTCACCTCCTTGAAAAATTCAATCAAATTTGTTAGATGTGATTCACCCCCTAACAAAGCCATACTGACTTTACTCGATTAATTTTTGTCTCTCCAAGTACTGATTAATTCTGTCCCTCAGAATTTTTTCCAATAATTTCCTGACCACTGATATTAGATTCACTGCCCTGTAGTTTCCTGGTTTATCCTTATCATCTCTCTTGAATAATGGTATGACATGAGCTGTACTCCAGTACTCTGGTACCCTTCCTGTGGCCAGAGAGAAATTGAAAATTAATATCAGAGTCCCCTGCAATCTCTTCCCTTGCCTCCCATAGCATTCTGGTATACATCTTATCTGGCCCTGGGGGTTTATCAAGTATTTTGTTCAAGTATATCACTGTCTCTCCTTGGTTCCTATACCTACATTGTCCTTCTCTTCAAAGAATACAGATGCAAAGTACAAATTTAAAACCTTAACTATATCTTTTGGCTCCACACAAAGATTGCCACTTGGGTCTCTAATGGGCCTTACCCCTTCCCTGGTTATCCTCTTGCCCTGAATATACTTATAAATGCCGATGGTTTTCCATTGTTTTAATCAGCTCATGCCCCTTCTTCACGCTCCTAATTTATTTTGTAAGCAACTCTCCTCACTTTCTATACCCCGTAGGGCTTCCACTGTTTTGAGGCCATGCTAGCTGCCATAAGATTCCTTTTTATTCCTCATCCAATCCTGTACAACCCTTGACATCCAGGGTTCTCTGGATTTGTTGGTCCCGCATTCTCAATATTATCTTTCTGAGTGGTACCCACTCCACTGATGTAGAGGTTCCTACAAGTAGCTGCTCCCAGTCCACTTACACCAAATCCTGTCTCATCATATTAAAATCAGCCTACCCTGAATTCAGAATCTTTACTTCAGGACCATCTTTGACCTTTTCCATAAATATCTTAAATCTGACCGAGTTATGGTCACTATCACCAAAATGCTCCTCCACTGATATTTAAAGTATTTGCTTGGCTTCATTCCCTAAAACTAGGCCCAGTACCACCCTTCTATTTTTTAATCATTCATGAGATGAGGGCATCACAGACCAGGCCAGCATTTATTGTCCAGAGGGCAATTTAATGTCAACTATATTGCAATTTGGTTGACATTAAATGTAGGCCAGCCGTTTCATTCCTTAAAGGACGTTAGTGAATGAGATAGGGTTTTCCCACCAATGGATTCATGGTCAATATTAGACTCTTAATGCCAGAATTTTTTTTGTTGAACTCAAACTCAACCATCTGCTATGGTGGGATTTGAATCCAGGTCCCCAGATCATTACCACATCTCTTAATTAACAGTCTAGTAATAATGCCACTAAGCCATCATCTCCTTCTTGCAGGACTTTCTATGAGTTGACTTAAAAAAAGGTTTTTCTTGATACATATTAAGAATTCCACCTCCTAACCATTTTTCACTTTGTCTATCCCAGTTAATATTGGGGAATTTGAATCCCCATCCTACTATTACCCTGTTATTTTTACACCTCTGAAATTTGCCTACATATCTGTCTTTCTATCACTCCTTGGCTGTTGCGGGGTCTATAGTACTCTTGCAAAAATGTGATTTCCACTTTTTGATTTAAGTTCTACCATGTAGTCTCATTTGAGGTACCTTCTAAGAAAACATTCTTCCTTATTACAGGAACTGACTCCTTGATCAATACTGCAACACTAACCCCTCTTTACATATCGCACTGCTCCCACAACCCTGTGTCCCCTGAAGATTCTACATCCCAGAATATTGAACTGCTAGTCCTGCCCCTCCCTCACCCATGTTTCCATTATAGCAATGATGTCAAATTGCCATGCGTTAATCAACATCCTCAACTCGACTGCCTTACTCGCAAGACCTTGCATTAAAATAAACACCATCCAGCCTGTCTATGCTGTCTTGTGCTTTAACTTGACCATACTGCTCTGCCTTTCAGATTGACTTGGTTAAACTTGACTGACTTGATTTGCCGTTCACTGATGAAAAACCATGTCGATTCCATTTCTGAAGAAGGGTCTAGGCCCGAAACGTCGGCCTTCCTGCTCCTCTGATGCTGCTTGGCCTGCTGTGTTCATCCAGCTCTACATCTTGTTATCTCGGTACCACCATGATTTTTTTGTCCTTCCCAACTCCAAGGATGTCTACAAAGAGGTGATAAAGGTACAGCTTTTATGTAGGTGTATGAACTCATGTACGATACCTTTTCTGTGCAGCATGCCTAGTGTTTTCTGTTTATCACATCTATTTGGCCACACAACAAGTATATTGTGATGATAGCAATGCAAAATGGATCTATCTTCAGAATAGATGTACAATTGCTAATTTAGAGCGATGCTTCTTTTACAATATTGCTGGGGTGTGATTTCTGCCAATGTAGCTTACAATTTTGCAATATCAGACATGTAAAAATATATTCAACAAGGTGCTTTTGAAATTCCTATCTCTTCCTTGAGGACCTTCAAAAAAAAGGAAGAAGATTGGGTGCTTCCCCCAACTGATGAGATTAAAGATGAAAAGAAATTGGGATTGTAATTTAAGTTTTATTACATAAATATATTTCAATATGATTTATTTTGGATTCTTGAATTCTGAATAGGGTACTGCATTAGGCTGTCAGATGGAAGATTCTGGAATTCTTTTGGGGCCAGGAGGGGAAAGACTTATAGCTTGAAAAAATGCCTTTGAGTTTCAATCAGGCAGTTTGCTCATGTCTTAGTTGAAGCTATATGCTTAAAAAAAAAGTTGCTTCTGAAGAAGGGCCCTGACCTGAAACGTCAACTTTCCTGCTCCTCTGATGCTGCCTGGCCTGCTGTGTTCCTCCAGCTCCACACTGTGTTATCTCTGATTCCAGCAACTGCAGTTTTTACTAACTCTCCTGAGAAAGGGAGTTAGTTTTAGGACAGTTAAGAAAGATGTTACTTTAGTGTAAGGAGTTGAATTTAAAACCAGGAGTGCTTAGTTGAAACCTTAAAGGGGTTATTTGAAACTGAGAAAGTCTAAGTTCAGTTGTATAAAGACTCCAAGAAGGGACTATCAGATTTTCAAGAGGAGGATTTGAAGTGACTGTTAGATTAAGCCTTTGGGATGTGAAGAAGAAGGCCTCTGGTGCTTGAGAACTGTAATGAGATGCTGTTGGAATTAATGGGATTGTATCTTTACTGTGTGTTTCAAAATCTTTAAATATGTACTATACCTAAATAGTTTGATTTATTATATTCAATCTCCATTTATTTTGTGCAATAAACATTTTTAATTGTTAAACCCAAATCTATAGCATTGTGTGTTTGAGTTTCACCAAAAAAAATCTTGTTAAAAGGGGGAAAAAGCAAAATATAATCTAACAAGCCAGATTTCTGACTTGTCTAGTATTCATATCAGATGGTAACATAATAGGATTCTTAAAAAATGCAGAATTAGAAGATTGAATCAACAGCCCAATAGAATATTTAAAATTGTAATCCCTCCCCAGTCGGCCATAACAATGCTGACTGTCAGAACAAGATGGTATTCCTAACATTCCTACTGTGTTGCAAAACTTGGGAGATATCTCACGTGATGCATCCTTGTATTTACTTTTATGCGTGTTATTTATAAAATTGCTTTTGAAATGTCTATTAAACTGTGTGAAGGTGCTCGAGGCTGGCATAGTGAACTATTTCATGTTTTAATCATTTTTTGGAGAAATACAGCAAAAAAGCAATGATTGTTTCTATATACATTGTTCCCTCAAACTTGGTTTTCATGATTATGAAACTAACCAAGGTTTGAACCTTTGTCCAAATATGTTGACTTTTGTCAAAGAAAATGTAGGATGTTCAACATTCTATTTATTGTTACATAATTTTAAGAGGAATTATTGATATATTCGCTTAATATAAAACTGAGCAGTTGAAGGTAAATTTGTTTTTCTGGGCTGATATGAACTAGATGACTTTGTCAATATTTGAAGCTTTTTCACAAATTTATTTTCTTACTCTGACATCTGTTTTTGCTGCTTCACAAAACATTTATTTAACAAACAGAACAAAAGGTCAATGCTACAAAAAACAACTTAAAGTGCATTATTGTATGTGGTTTTAAAGGAAACCTAATCACTCGTACTCTTTGTCCTTGTTCTTTTTGTCAATAATTCACCTGATATCTTTTGACTAAAACCCATAATAAATAAAAAGATTACACAAACATGCTTTTTTTTATTCATTTGTGGGATATAGGCATCGTTGGCTGGGCCAGCATTTATTTCCTGTCCCTAGTTGCCCTTGAGAAGGTGGTGGTGAGCTGCTTTCTTGAACTGCTGCAGTCCACCTGCTGTGGGTTGACCCACAATGCCATTAGGGAGGGAATTTGATGTTTATTTGATAACCATTTTTAAAGTTATGAACTCACTTCCTCAGTAACAAGTCCTTTCTTCCGCATGATTGTTAAATTCATTGCTTATATTTTCTCAGCATTTCTTTCTGCCTTTCAAAGGTATCTTTCAAACCACCTGCTCCCAGGTCTCTGTTAAATTTGTTCTGTAGTTGGTTGCTGCAATGTGAAATGATGGCTCAGTCTAGCCCAGTCTGTCATTCCTTCTCCATTCCTGTGAAAAAGTGACTGGTGACTGCTCAGACTTTTAACTGGATAACTCCACTGGAGATTAAGGACTTACTATGTTAGAATTAATGTTCAGATTGGGTTAGAAATTAATGTTGTGCTATTGGACACCATCATATTGGGTGTCAATTATATTGTATAGATATTCAGTTCCATTGTCTTTATAAAGAGGGGCTGGAGGACTGGAGAGTGGATAATGTGCCTTTATTTAAGAAAGGCTGTAAGGAAAAGCCTCCAAACTAAAGACCTGTGAGCGACATCATTGGTGGGTAAGTTTTGTTGGAGGGGATTCTGGAGATTTACATGAATTTGAAGAGGCAAGGACTGAGTAGGGATAGTCAGCATGGCTTTGTGCATAGGATATTGTGGCACACAAACTTGATTGAGTTTTTTTGAGGACGTAACCAAAAGGATAGATGAGGGCAGAGCAGTAGATATTGTCTACATGGACTTTAGTACAGCCTTAGACAAGGTTCTGCATGGTAGACTATTAGTAAAGTTAGATCACATGGAATTCAGGGAGAGCTTGCCAACAGGATACAAAATTGGCTTAATGGTAGGAGATAGAGGGTGGTGGAGTGTTATTTATTGGACTGGAGGCCTGTGACTAGCAGTGTTCCACCAGGGATTGGTGCTGTGTCCACTTTTGTTCGTAATTTATATAAACAATTTGGATGAGAATTTAGAAGGCACGGTTAGTAGGTTTGTTTGATGACGCTGAAATTGCTGGTTATAGTCAACGGTGAAGAAGGTTGTCTAGGATTACACAGGGATCTTGATCAAATGGGCCAATGGGCTGAGGAGTGGCAGGTGAATTTCATTTGGATAATTGCGAGATATTGCATTTTGGTAAAACAAATAAGGGCAGGACTTATACAGTTAATGGTAGGGCCCTTGGTAGTGTTGTCAAACAGAGAGTCCTAGGGGTTAGGTACCTAGTTCTTTGAAAGTTGCATTACAGGTAGACAGGGTAGTTAAGAAGGCATTTAGCATGCTTGCATTCATTGGTCAGACCACTGAGTATAGGAGTTGGGAGATCATGTTGGGAGTACAGAATGTTGGTGAGGCCACTTTTGGAGTACTGTGTACAGTTCTAGTTGCCCTGCTGTAGGAAGGATGTTGTTAAATTAGAAAGGGTTCAGGAAAGATTTACCAAGATATTAGCGGGACTGGACGGTTTGAGTTATAAGGATAGGCTGGAAAGGCCACTGGAGGGTAAGAATTTGAGGGGTGACCTTACAGATGTTTATAAAATCATGAGGGGCATAGATAAGATGAATAGCAAAAATCTTTTCCCTCAGGTGGGTAAGTTCAAAACTAGGGGCATATTTTTTAAGGTGAGAGGAGAAAGGTCTAAAACGGACCTGAGGAGCAACTTTTTCACACATTGTTCCTGTATGGAATGAACTACCATAGGAAGTGGTAGATGCAGACGTAGTTACAACATTTAAAAGACATTTGGATAGGTACATGAATAGAAAAGGTTGAGAAGGATATGGGCCAAACGCAGGAAAGTGGGACTAGTTTAGTTTAGGAAACTTGGTCGGCATGGATGAGATCTGTGCTGTATGACTCTATAACTAAATAGGAGGCTGGGCATAAAATAGCTGACCTATATAATAGTGCCAGTGGAGAAATACCCTCCAAGGCATGCCTCTACCCAATATTTCTTCAAAACGATAGATCCCTGACTTTACTTAGCACTTTAATCACTATCACTTTTGGCATCTAAACTCTACTGAGCTTTTCAGTATTAACTCTGAAAGTATCAGTGATATTTCCAGCCACACTGCACAAATTATATTCAATCCAATAGCATGAATCCGACCAGAACTATATGGAGATTAAATAATAGGCATTTCTATGTCTTAGTAATGAGGAAGGAACGAGTTAAAGAGTTCAATTAACCTCTACCTCAATGAGATGATGTGCAGAAAATCAGATAATTGCTATTCAGGGCCTTTGTACCACCAGGGGGCAGATTATGGGAATTAACCATGACAAACAGGATGGTTGCAGGATTTTTAGACTTTGCAACCATCAAAACTGATCAATGAATTTGCCTACGCCAGTTCTAATTGAGATGCCAAACTGTTTCAGCCTTAGCAGATTGTAGAATGTTTGTTTACATCTTTTGGTCTATATAGTTATCATCCTGGAAATACAGTTAATGTCTGGTATTTTCTTTCTCCTGTGGAGAGCGTTAGGAAAATGGTCAACTCAGCCACTGAAAATCTGTGATTAAAACCTCTTAACCTCTTCAGTCATTTACATCATCTTAAAGAGTCATCGTCATGGTACGAATGATGTTTGGTATTGGGTTTTTAAAGATATTTCTAAATAATGCATACATTTTTTTAGTTATGATTTTGGCTTTGATCTTGATTTTGATTTTGTCGGCATGTGTACTCAAGTACAAAACTATAGGAGTACAGTGAAAAGTGTAAAATGTCGCCACACAAGGCACCATCTTAGGTACAAGTACCTAGGTATAGAATCTTAAGAACAATCTGGAAAGAAAGAACAAAGTTACAAGTTAAACGTTGCAGTAATTATTGTATAGC